ATATATATATATATATATATATATATATATATATATATATATATATATATATATATATATATATATATATATAAAAAATAAGATGTATACACCATTAAATAAATTAGTTAAAATAATAAAATGTATATGTAAAAGTTAAATATGGAAGTTAGGTCCCCCTGAAAGCGGCTGCGCCTCAGAACTTCCCTTCTGGGAGCAAGTTATTTACTACTTTTAACTCAAACTGGGTAAAACCGTATAAAAAAAGACTAAAACAGGAGTAAAAAAGTAAAAGCGTTTATTCTAGGTCAGGTCGTTACAGGACAGAGAAATTGCTTGGAGTATGCACAGCTGTGGGCTAAAAAACGTCAGAGAGTGTCGGGCAAAGATTGAGCCCTGAACAAGGTCATCTCCTCCTTCTTATACCTCATGAGTCCGTGTTTTGCATCAGGTGGATGCTCAGCTGTTCGTATCAGAAACTGACACACCATCCATGCCCTGACCTTTATGCATCTTGCCTCTATTGCTGAGGATTACACATAGCTCTCCTCTATCAGTCCGACTCCAAGATGTGCCCATATCCTGTGTATTTCTAAAGACATGAAGGCTGTCCCGATTAGATGACCTCCGTACGCACAGTGACATCCACCATGTGAAAGAAGGCCTTCTAATCCGGCTAACAGAATAACAATGCACATGATTTATAAAGAATAAACCTAACATAAATAAATGTCTTTTTAAATTACATTGTATATTTTAAAGCAACATTTAACTATTTAATAATACATTTTATGTCAATGGTACATTTCAATAAATACTATTAAATTATTTAATGTTATGATTACATTAATTTGTTTTATATATATTTTTATCCTATTGTCCTTTTGTCCTTTGTTATAGACTTGCTCGATTTTTAGTTTAAGTATCTTTAAAGATAGAAACCAGACTCATGTTTTTAAAAATGCATTCAGTACCCTGTCATCCAAGGCGGATTCTCTGTCCAACTTTGCTTTTGACAGGAGAACCAGCTCAGTATTCAGAAGATATATCATGTTTTGTAACATAAAACATGAACGATTAGATATCCCTTTTTACAAATCTTTTCTTATATTCCCTCTATATTTCTAAGGAGGCCCCTTTGAAAACTGCAGATCAGGAAAAGTCTGTAGTACTATGCTCAAGTCTGTCTGCAGCAACATAAAGGGAAACATTCTCCAGCAGCACTTGCTTAATTTAACCAAGTTTTATTGAACAAAAAAGCACAACTCTGTTTCTGAGTGAAAATCGCTTGATGTTCCTTATATTACTCGATTGTTTATAAAATGAATGAGAAAAATTATCAAACATATAAATTGACACCAGTCTTGAATGAGGTCTTCTTGAGCCACTCCAATTAATTTCAAGGAAGGTTGAAGGCTGAAGAGCTTTTTAATGGTCTGATCAAGATGTCTGCTGTTGGTATCTGGTTTTGTTGCTTAAAAAACCCCAGAAAAACCCATAAAGGCTGGCATAATATAATCGGTGCAGTCTTTGTTGGACATTCATCAGGTTGGTGTAATTAGGAAAGGAACGTCTGCAGTCTGGATGGATGAGTTTTTTTAGTTTTACCTTTGGACTTTTTAAAAAGAAGTGCTTTTCTTGTTTTGTTTTTGACCTATTTTTTACCCTCTTGCTTTACTATTTTCTTTGACTGAGGAGGAAATTCTTCTAAATGATATAAGTCATTGATTTTCTGAAGCAGAGAATATTAAAGATTTTTAATGAACTGGTTATTTAACTAACAGGTCAGATTGAGTTTTCAGGTAGTGAATGAAGTCTATACAGATGTTTAAATTTCATTGGCTTGTCCTCTCTTTGGCTAGACTACACAATCTTGGACTGCATTTACAGTGAGGTGGACAGAACGTTCTACATCCTGGATGTCATGTGTTGGAGAGGTCACCCAGTCTACGACTGCCCAGTAAGACTTTCCTCTAACCCTCAGCATCCCAGTAAAACCTGTCAATCTATTTGTCTATTTGAAAATAAAGGCAAAGAAGTGTAAAACTCCTGTTTTTCACTGTGCTTGTTTTCCCACCAACAGACCGAGTTCCGCTTCTACTGGCTGCAGTCGAAGGTCGAGGAGACGGATGGCTTATCGGAGATCGCCAAACGCAACCCGGTGGGTATTTGGTCTGAGATAAAGGCTCTTCTCCTAAAGTCATCTCTGATATTTCCTTTAATTTTAAGTTAACCTACATAAGCCAGACAAATCCATCTGGAACGCCTCTTGTGGAAAGCGTTCGCAAAAGGGAGGGACATTTAGTACAATTCTTCAAGCTAATTGGGTTATTGCCCAAGTGGTACTTGCCTCCATGTCGAGCTTTTAGCCAATGACAGTAGCAGCTGTGATGTATCACATTCTTGATTTGTTTCACAACTAGTGGTGTTAACTGATAGATCAAACTCTAACCAAATCCGTTCTGAAGGAATGGTAAACATCTTCCCATCCACAAAGGCGAAAATCGCTTCTCTTTGCTCGTTTTCAAAAGGAAATAGTGGACATTCTCACTAAAACCAGCTGAATATAGAAGTCTACAGATGGTACCACTGGTGCATCCACTTTATTTTGCTTCAGCCTTTTGTTTCTGGTGATATCATACAAAACATTTATGAATCAAGACTAATGCATCTGAACGCTCCTGGCAAGATTAGGGAGTTTGTGAATTCATAAATCTCATGACAGTTGATCTTGTTTGCAAAGTAAGTCTTCAGTAGCTTTGAAGTGATGCAGTTTAGTCTTATTGATAACTAGTTCTAGGTTCACTTCACACAATAAACTGAATTATTTCACTTTCAGAGATAATCATAAATATCTGAACTCAGATCCCAGGCCCAGTATTATCAAGTTATTTCTCACTTATACTTGAAATAAAGTCTAATAATAATTTGATTATGATACCCAAGTGTTTATTGGTTGTCATTGGCGTTTGGAACAAACTCTTAATCTCTTTATTTCCTTCTGATTCATTTTCTGTGCTTTTTCATAAACTATAGCTGACGTCTGGAAAATGCTGCTCTCATTCACATAAGTTCAGATTTTATTAGGATAAACTAGCTGGAAAATTGCGGAGAAATAACTTTTTGTTCATTTTTTTTTAACTCGATTATTTTTTTTTATTATTAATCGATTAATAATCAGATAGGAAAATTTTCCTTACAGAAGATATTTTGCGGTACTAAACCAGGTAAAACTAAAACTTTTCCACTTGAGTAAAAAAAGATTTTTATCATAAATGCTAAATTTTTACTTTTTTTGTGTGGTATAATTGCTACCTAAGGTGGGTTCCTATGTCAGTTAAAGTCTCTACTCACCGGTTAACCATTAATCAATTAATAAATTAGTTGAAGATTATTTCAATAATTGATTAATCTGAATAATTGTTTTAACCCTTAGCGAACATACAGAAAAGCGTGTCTAAATATATAAATTAGTAAGGCTTTGTAAGACTCCAGCAGAGGTTATGGTCCTCTTGATGATCCCCTTATACAACACTGTAGGAGTTCAATTCTGAGGGTTTTGTTTCTGTTTTCTTTGGTCCCAACAGTTTCGGTTTTTGAGCCTTCAAAGCACCGGCTGCACAGCAGAAGCCATTCAGAAAGCCCTGGGAGCCGAGTATAGCTTCAGTGTAAGAACAATTCTTCACTCACCCCTTTTCTCAGATTATTTTTCATTTGTGACGCAGTGTAATTAATAGGTTACTGCTCTGAGCTCTGCAGGTGGACGGACTTCTCTTCTATCACCGGCAGACCCACTACACCCCGGGAAGCACCCCCCTGGTTGGTTGGCTGCGCCCTTACATGGTCACTGACATACTGGGGATGGAGGTTCCTGTAGGACCCCTCACCACCAAGCCAGGGTACGCCAGCCAGCAGCTGGAGCAGATCCTGAAGCAGAAAAAAGTCTCCAGTGAAGTGCGGCCTGCCAACAAAAGCGGTGGCTACGAGTTAGAGCACCTGTCCACTCCAAGTCAGGACAATAAGGACACCTTGAACTTCTTGAATCAGAAGCCAATAAAGGAGACAACTATGGAAATCTGAGTTAAGATGGATTTCAATTGTTAAATGAGGGACCCTACATGTTGGCAGCAAATGGGAAGCTCTTAAGAATGTCTCTTCAAAGACTAACTATTGATTTTAATTAATGCTCTGGATCCCTTCAAAGTGCAGATTAGTAGAGCCATGCTGACATGTACACCTTTTACCTCCAGAAGTTGAGTTAAAATATGCAGAACTTCAAACTTGTGGTCAAGAAATTTCCTTCTGCATTTTCATCGCAGTTGAATCGGGCATCAAACTTTTCGTTACCAAATGTGGGTTTGAGGGTTTCAAGCAACTGTTAATCAACAGCATAACAGGCAGTTTTAGCAGGTCATTAGTTAATCGTCAGTAAATCAACAGTTGCTTGCTGTTGCTGTTCTTAAAGGTTCAGTGTCAGAGACTCAGTTGCTGATTATAGTCTGTTTTGATGGTCTTTTATGGTTCACTGTTGAATTGAAATGTTTTAAATTTCACATATGCAAATAAATTCCTTTTTATTGACTTTCACCATTTTTCCAACATCTTTTTTCTTTTATTTTTCTACATACATATTGTGCTGTTTAATCTAAACAAAATCAAATGTGCCACTGTGTATTAATTACTTGGAATATTCAAATAGTGAAATCTACATCATAATAGATTTTAAAATGTTTGTTTGTTTTTTCAATCTACGAGTATCTGATCAACATCTTATCTATTTTATGGATTAAAATGATAAATGTTTTTGAATTCTGATATATTTGATTATGGTTGTTCCACTCTAGCTTTTACACACTGTCAAATTACACTTGTATTTTATGTCATGGTAGATTGACACAAAAGTGCAGAAATGAGAAATTGAACAAAAAAGATTTTTTTCTATAAGATCATGACCAAAAAAGTTCTGCATCCTTTCATTTTCAGGACTTCTGACTAAATACTTCTAAAAATATATATATATATTTCGTCAATTAATACCCCAGTTATAGCTTTGTAGGGTAATACACGCCTGTGTTGACATCAGTAGCATCAAGCTCCAGCCAGCCAAAAAAACAAAAAAAAAAGGCTGCATGCAGAGCGCAGCCAGTGTTTGCCAGTTGCCACACTGCTATTTTTTAAAAAAAGTGCTCATTTATACACTGTGCAGAATTATTAGGCAATTGAGTATTTTGAGCACATCATCCTTTTCATGCAAGCTGTATAGGCTTCTTTTTCTTTGTTAGATTGGGGGATTACAAATAACTTATATGTGCATACCGCCACCTGCTGTACATGAGTGTGTAGCTCTATAGTTCCAACTACTATATTCTATTTTTTATTTTTGTTTTATGTAAAAATAAAAACAATACTTTATTAATAACCAAATTTTCCTCCCTATCTCCATCTGTCCCTAAAATACCTTTAATACTTAATTCTCTCCCTTTTTCCATACCGGTAATTACTTTCCTCATCCTCTCTCTTTCAGTTGCATAAGGGAAACAGCGTTTTTTTTTTACATTGGCCCCTTGATTTTACGTTATTACATCATGTTCTACTCACCCATATTAGTTTTGTGTCATTTGGAGCTGTTTTGAAGATATTCAGTTTTGTAATATCCAAGTAACGTCTTCCTATGGGCAACGACTTGAAGGCACAAACTAAATTTTTCATAATTTATTCTTTATGGTACGCCAGCATTCAGAACATGTAGGTGAATCACTGTCCCCCGTCATCCATGCGCACCGGCTACCGTTCATTCATCCTGTCCTCTGAACTGCTGCTAGTTTTCCTCACATGCCTGGAAGATGTCTAATGCTGCTACCACAGATGATCTCGCTCTCCAAATGGAATTGAACGATTCAGATTAATGGAATATCTTCAGAATGGCTCCAAATGACAATAAACTCAAATGGGTGAGTAGAACATGATGTAATAACGTAAAATCAAGGCCCAATGTAAAGAAAAACGGCGTTCCCCTTTAATGCAATCCATCAAAACATGATTCACATTTTCTTTTCTTTCAGAACCCTCTCATAAATCATTATTTCTCTTCCCTAGTACAAACAATAACTCATTCAAGTAGTTGGGTCCAATTCTTAATCTAGTATAAATTATCTCTTCCCTTCTGTTTCTCCATAATTTTTAACAATTACAGATTTTTGAACCCTATATAATCTTCCTTTCTGATCTTCATCCCATATTTTTTTTGCCATAATTCTGTTTCTTTTTAATTATTGATTTACCTTTCCCAAATGGAATCTGATCTTTATTTTGCTTTCCCAAAGCCTTTTTAATTTATAAATAACTATAATACAATTGTCTAATATACAACTTATATTAGACAATATAAGTTGTCTTCATCTTCTCTTCAAATTTGATTAAAAAGTTGTAATATTCATTTTAATGTTGATTCCGATAATCTTTAAAACATTGCATAACATAGATTATCATCTCCTATCATCTTTAATAGCTGTTTTTATTTCATTCATACTTATTTCTTCCTCTATTGCTGAAACCGATCTGTCTTTTTGTAAATATAATTAAATTCTTTGAGTTTTTGTTCTTTTTGATTCCTATGAATATTTCCTAGGTGCTCCCCTCTATACACTGCTGCAAAAGCCTCACCCAGAACAGCTGCCTTCTCTTTATTTAACACCACAGTTCCTTGACAGCTAATTAGTGCTGGAATTCTTATTTGTCTTCTTTTCCCACCCATCTTCTTAAACATTGACCAAACATTTTGTAATTGAACTCCTGCTCCTATGGAAGAACAGTAATTTCTCCAAGTTTCCTTCTTCGCCTCTTTAATTGGTTTACGAGCCTCTGCCCATTTCTTTTTTTTTTTTCTGATTTTTCCCAGTCAAATTTTTCTGTAGCATTTTAAATGCTTTATTTCGTTCTTTAATTGCTCTGCTACAATTCCAGCATTTTTGTCTTTCCTTTAATTATTGTTTTTGGAATACTAAGTTCTGCAGCATTTAGTATATGTTCTGTTACCTGTTTAGTGCACTCATATACATTTGCTTTTAATGTCACTAAATGACACATAATGTTTTAAAAATTTGCCATTTAGCTTTATTAATGCACCATCTTGTTATTTTAAGTTCCTCTTGTCTTAATAAATTATCTTTAATGATTATGCTAACAGCATAATGATCACTTCCTATTGTGGACTCTCCCCTCACACCCCATTCACAAGAGCTAATGATTGAACTGGATACTAATGTTAAATCAAGACATGACAGAGTTCCTTTATATATGTCTATTTTTGTTCCCTGACTATTATTCAGGGACACCAGTGACCTTTCATCCATCATTTCTTCCACTATTTTACCATTATTGTCAGTCTGTCTGCTTCCTTTACTATTATGTGCATTGAAGTCACCACACCAAACTTCTCTTCTTTTAATTGATCCTGAGATTTTATTAAATATATTGATAATTTCCAGCTGCACTCAGAAGTTCGTGAATTTTATCCGCATGGACCTCCTTCATGTCTAGGAACTGTCCTGGTGCTTCTGCAATAGTTTTGATTTTATCACTTTTCTTTTTCATTTCCACTGTAACATTAATAATGTGACTTACTGTATGCTTGCATGCATAGGGTTCATCTGTTGAATTGATAATGTTTTTATTCTGTTTTCTTTGTGAGTCATTATTTTCCTGATTTATCTCTCCATGACATGTAACTTTATTCCCCAAGTTCTTTGAACTTTCTTTTCTATCTTTCTTGAATGCCTCAGCATATGAAACCTTCTGTTTTTTTAATTCTTTGTGCTTGTCTTGCCTCCCTCTGTACTACGCTTCCACCATATGCTGCACTATGTTCTCCCCACAGTTACAACATTTAACTTAGGCATCTTTATCACACGTTCCATATTCATGTGAACCTCCACACCTTGCACATGCACACCTAATTTTCCCTTTGCACTCCTTAGCTACATGACACATTCTTTGACCAACAAAATATCTTATTGGGTTGGGAATGTTCTCTCTCACCCTGAGGTTTATGTCGCCAATCTGCACAGATTCTGGAATCACATTTTCAAACTGCAATATAATTGCTATGGTGTCTTTAACAACTCCATCTCTTGTGTTTAATCCTTGTTGCTTCACTTATTTTTCCTACTTTTATTTCTTGTTTGATTTCATCAACTGTCATGCCAGGGATGTATGTTTTGATTCTTTCACCTACAAGAGTTGTCATATTGAGAATCTTTTCTTGTTGTTTTTTGCGAACGGCATAAATTAATATCTTCCGGTTGTTCATTATCCTGGCTGACTTGTTTCGTCCAATTTCCTTCTCAATCACTTTAGATAGTTTTATGGGATGTAACTATCCTCCCTCTTGTTTAAACTCGACTGTAACTTTCCACTCCTCTTCCCCATTTGCTTGCTCTCCCTGCGCTTGTGTTTGTTTTTGTCTTTTTACTTCTTTCCTCTCTAACCTCACTCTCATCTGACCAACTTCTATCCCTTTCCTCTCTTCGCCTAATTTCACGCTTTCTTCTTGAAGACCTAGACATCCTCCACTCCATTTCCTCTCCACCATTTCCACCTGATGTGGAAGCCACACTCAATGTACACTGTACATTGAGTGTGGCATATACTGTACATTGTACAGTATATGCAAACTGCCGAAAAGTTTTCAACTCCTATCAACTTTGCACTTCGCTCACAAATCTCACGTGGCCGCCTCCACCGGAAGAGCAACTCCAGTCCTGCCCTGCCCTCTGCTGTATAGGCTTGAAAGCCAACTACCAATTAAGTAAATCAGGTGGTCTGCATCTCTGTAATGAGAAGGGGTGTGGCCTAATGACATCAACACCCTTTATAAGGTGTGCTTAATTATTTGGCAACTTCCTTTCCTTTAGCAAAATGGGTCAGAAAAGAGATTTGACAGACTCTGGAAAGTCAAAAATCGTCAGATGGGTGGAGCAGTTTGGAAATTGCCAAGCTTTTGAAGCGGGATCATCGCACAATCAATCAGTTCATGGCAAATAGCCAACAGGGGCGCAAGAAGCGTGTTGGAAAAAGAAGATGCAAAATAACTCCCCATGAATTTAGAAGGATCAAGCATGAAGCTGCCAGGAAGCCATTAGCCACATCCTCATAATATGGCCAGATCTAAAAAAATAAAAATAAATAAAAAAAAAAAAAACACATCACTTCCAAAATTATGAAACTTTGCTTTTAAGGAGTCTTTTGGTTTGATTGAGAACACATTGTGGCCCAATAATAAAAATAATCCTCAAAAATACAACTTGCCTAATAATTCTGCTCATAGTGTAGTTTTGCCAAAGATTTGGAACTGGACTCAGGCTTTGACTGTTCCTGACCACTCTGAAAACAAACCTCTGTTGTCTGCTGGAAGGTCAAGTTTTGCCCAGGATCACTCTGCATCATCCCCACAGCATGTTGCTGCTACCGTCACATGGTTTTTGCTCATCAGGCGCTTTCTTCTTGTGTCTTTCCACAAACCTGTGAAGTAATTTGAAAAACTCACATGAAAAGAAAAGACAATTAGGAGAAATATATTGATACAATTACTTTGTCTTTGGTGCTCAGACCCCTGCAGGA